CAGAGGATAAGAGGGGAGGCAGGTAGTAGGTGAGGGTAAAGGGGATCAAATATATGGTGATGGAAGGAGAACTGACTCTGGGTGGTGAACACACGATATGTGATATATAGATGATGTAGTACAGAATTGTATACCTGAAACCTATGTAACTTTATTAACCATTGTCACCCCAATAAAATTTAATTAAAAAAATAGAAAAGAAAACGAAATGAAACTCTTAGGAGACACAACATAAAAATAAAATCTGTTAATACTCTGACTGGAATAATATCTATTTGTGTAACAAACTGCACTGTTCTAGGTGCTTTACAGATGTGAACAAACGGAAGTCCCATAAAGCCAAGAGAAAGGGGCTCATACTGTCTGCTTAGTGAATACAAGTGGGGCTCAGACAGAGTAAGGAGCTTGCCCAGGTCACACAGCCAGTGGAATTCTCTCCCCAGCCATCTGGCTCCAGGATCGCTGGGCTTCACCCCCCTCAACGTGCACGCACACGTGCGCACACACACACACACACACACACTGTCCCAGACACCATGCTGTGTTGCTGTGTGACTAATCTTCCTAACACTTGGAGGTGTGTGTGGTACCACAACCATTTTCTCTTGCTCACAGTTTTGTGGACCAGAGTTCAGGAAGGGAGTTAGCTGGGCAGTTCTTTCTTGGGGGCTCTCATGAGACTACAGTCAGATGACAACGGGGCTGCAGTCACCTGGGAACTCAGTGGGCTAAACATCCACAGTAGCCATCTCACTTGGCTGGCAGATGATGCCAGCTTTGGCCAGGAGTTCAGCTGGACTGTCAAGCAGGTACCTGCCAGGGGCCTCTCCAGCATGGTGGTCTTGGGAGGTGGGGATCCTCACATGGACACTGGCTTTACCTGGGGTAAGTGTCCAAGAGAGCTTGGCAGAAGCCCTGGGAACTTCCCTGACTTCATCTTGGAAGTCACAGGATCACTTTCTCTGCAGTTTTCAGTTGAAGCAGTCACAAGCCCACCCAGAGACCAGAGTACAGAACCTACCTATCAATGTAAGGAGAATATGGGGCCATGTTTTAAACCACCACAGTATATCATTAGATCAGTGAAAAAGTATCTAAAATCTACTGGATGTTTACTCAGACCCAGGAATTGTGTGAAATGTATAAATATAAATAGTTTATATAAATTATACACTTATATTTACATGTAAAATAAATAATTGTCAAAGTAAAACCGTGCAGTGAAAGTTGCGGGGCTGTGCTGCCCCACGACACACTGGTCTCGGCGATGTCCAGGTCAGGGAGCCTTCTGGGTCACATCACCTCACCCAGCGCCCCAGAGTTTCGGCCTCCATAGGCCTGCCCAGTACCTGGGGGGAAAGCTGTGGTGGCTCCAACTGGAACCCCTGTGGTGTGTGCTTGAAGCAGGGGGCCTAGGTGGTGCAAGGACACAGATGCATGAGGCTAAGATGTGGGAAGCACAGGTGAGCTGAGCTGTGTGCTCAGCCCCTTCCTGCCCTTCCCTGAACCCCACCCTCTGTCTGCCCAGCATCCCCTCAAGTCCAGCTACCATGAGGAAGAGAGAGTTGAATTGAAAGTGTCCCAAAGGCATAGCTCTCCATGAAATCAGGGTTTCATTGCAGTGCCTGGATATTGGTTGCTTGTGTAAAATCAAGATTTTTTCCCAAGGCAGCAAAGACCCTGTAGGAAGGCCATCTCCCCAGGCTACCACTTCTATCTACAATCTGCTTTGCCATGCCCCTCCCCCAACATAAATATACCATCCCCTTGTCCCTGCAGGAGGCCCAGGCCCAAATCTCCCCAGCTCAAAGCCTGTGGGCAGGGCTTCACTTGTCTGCTTCCAAATCCCTTTCCTTAAATAAAGTCTAGGGTGATCAGGTTCCGCTGCCAGCTGGTGAAAATGAGACAAGACAAGGCACAAACACCCCTGGCCAGTTTGTCACCATGGAGGCAAGTTGGAAGAAGATTGTCCCCACCCTCTTCCTCAGGTTTCTTGGTTCTAGCCTTGCCCTTGCTGGGTGTAGCAGCAGCATGTGGGGTCCTGGGCCCCAGAGCCGGCTGTGTGGGTCCAATTTATCATTTATTTTTCTGTGTCCCCAGAGGGAGCCACATTGATAGGGTAGGTACATAGATCGGAATTAGCAAGAGGAGAAATTTATCCCCCAATGAGAAAGCCCCTGGCTGCAGCGCCTACTTGGCTCAAGACCCCTGGCAGCTGCCCAGCAGGACTCCAGGCTCACACATAACCTCTAAATTAAAGAGCTGTGTTGTTAAATGTCAGAGAAGAGGGGAGCCCATCCTGTTTTCACTAATACTTTACTAGCCAAACAGGACTCCAGGTTTTTACATACCCCAGAAGGATGTGTTTATACATCCCCCAAAACCAAGGGCATGTATTTACCCATGACCCTAAATCAAAGAAATGTATTGTTAAGAGAAGACATCCTGCTTATCAATACATCCTGTTTTCACCAATACCTTACTAGCCAAACAGGACTCCAGGGTTTTCACATACCCCAAAGGGGTATATGAACACATCCCCCAAAACCAAGGGGATGTCTTTACACATGCCCCTAAATCAAAGAAATGCATTGCTAAATGCCAGAGGACTAGGTACCCAGAGATAAGAGAAGGGCAAGGGGGAGGCAAATTTACCCATAGAAATAAAAGCCTTCATGCAATGTAAGGCAAGGCTGCTTCCCTCCCTCGGGTCATCCCACTCCAAGTCTATTCCACATCTCGGAGTATACCGCATTTTCTAATAAACTTGCTCTTCTAGGCTGCTTCCCTCTCTTAGGTCAGCCAGCTCCATGTCTCGGAGTGTACTCTCTTTTATTAATAAACTTCTGCTGTTCATGTTGCACAATTTCTGTCTCCTTTTTTTTTTTTTTCCTGTCTTAATGGAAGTCTTTTCTTCAAGACAAGAGCCAAGGTTTCGACGTCATTTTCCCAGTAACAACTGCTGTAAGCTGGGCAGGTATGGAGAACTCACCCCAGCAGTGCCAACCCGAGAAAGGCCCTAGTCCCTGCACCCTGGAGGGACGACAGGGAGCCCAGAGCAGGGAGCAGGGCTTGTGTTTAGTTTCCTGTATTTGGGGCTGGAGCTTTCCTATTTGGGGCACTGAGAATCCTCTATTCTATGGAATGATGGTGACACTAAGAGGTGACATTCCCTATTAATCAAGAAGAAAGCCCACTGTATGGCAGTCCCGGTTACGGTTTAAACTCCACAACCCTCACATAAAGCTCTTCACAGGGACTTGTTTTTAACTGTGGAGGGCAGAAAGGGCTGGTGGGTGTAAATCCCTAAAACTCTTCTAGACCACAGCTTCCTGGAACGTTTCAGAGAAGGCAGTGCTTCCGTTCTTCCTTTTCCAAGCCTGAAACTGACTGTGACTGACCGATTGTGACTGGCATTTCTCCAGTTAGAAATACACTTATATACTTTAATTTCTACCTTCAACTCCTTGCTGGTGTCTAAAGTCTTGTGGAGAAAAGTAGACCTAAAGCATTATTTCTTTAGTCTCTAGGGAACCTGACTGGCCACATTAGTCCCCGGGGTCTGATCAGCTCAGCACACCTGGCTGAACCCTGTGGCCCGCAGAACCCTGCTGAGGGAGGCCATGGGCTATGGGCTCCATCAGACCCCTCCTTCCTCTCTGAGTTCTTTTCAAATGCAGCAGCCAAGTCTCCAGAGCCACAGTTTAGGTCCCCTCCTCTTTCTTACTTGATTATCAGGAGCCACCACAACCAAAGGCCTGGCTTCCCAGCCCCCCTCCCTACTCAGTCTTCTGAAAGGGTCAGCACATTCCCCGGACATGCCCACTGTGGCCTGTGGCCCTGTGTCAGTTCTTGTCCCCTCCTCTGCCCTGCAGAGCCAGCAGGACAAGGAGTTTTTCATAAAGTAACTGTCTAAACCAGCGGTTCTCAACCTTCCTAATACCACGACCCCTTAATACAGTTCCTCATGTTGTGGTGACCCCCAACCATAAAATTATTTTCATTGCTACTCTATAACTGTAATTTTGCTACTGTTATGAATCGTAATGTAACTATCTTTTTGTTTTCCGATGGTCTTAGGCGACCCCTGTGAAAGGGTCGATCGGCCTCCCAAAGGGGTCATGACCCACAAGGTTGAGAACCGCTGGTAAACCCTTTAGGCATGTCCCCAAGACAATGAACAACTCAAGGAGCAGCTCTGTTGCTTTTTATTGCTTTGGGTAGGAGCAGAATGTGTGCACCAGGGACAGGTGCATCTAGAAAGCAGTTAATAGAAAGAAACAAGTTAGAGCCACTTAGCTGTGCAAACAATGCTCAAGAAGCCTTCTCTATTTGTCTCCTGGGGCCAGCACACTGAGGGGCTCCACCAAGGTGGGATCACCCATCTAAGGCTTAGGAACTCTACTGGAAGGGGGAGGTTCAGGGAGAGGGGTGTAAGTAAGAGGCATTCAGTGTGGCCCAGCTTGTGATATGTCTTCTATGCATCCTGGCAGCTGGACTTCACCATAGAGATCTTGCTCATCCAGGGAACACTGTATATCTGGAAAGAGCAGAGTGCTTTCTGCAAAAGGGAACAGAGAGGGATGGTCAGTTAGGGTTATAATAGAACAGGAAATTGTCCAACAGGAGATCTCAGAAGTGCAGGTGAGGTACTGCGGTTGTTTGCTGGGACTCTCAGCCCCTTCTCAGCCCAGCCACAGACCACTAACCAAGACTCAACAATGGCCTCCCTGTCATCCCTCCCATCACTCCAAGTCCAGGAGATGGCACCCTGCACCCGCTCCCCCACAGGATTCCACACTGTTGTAGCCCCAGCACAGCCATTTAAGGAGCAGCCCATGCAAGGCCACACAGCCCAAGAGGGTACAGGGCATGACCCCAAGTTCTTCCACCTCCAGGGGGCCAACACTAAGACAGGTCCAGAAAGGAGCCGGGTCCTGGAATCCCCCCTGAAAGTGGCAGGGTGTGTAGGGAGGTGATGAGGCTAAGAGCTCCCAATAACCAGCCAAGCCTGGGGAGCGACTGCTGTTCAGTGAGCAGGACAGCATGGAAGGGTCTCTCCCCTTACAGGCCTCTAATTCCCTCTAATCAGTTCCAGTGGCTGAGGCTGGGATTAAAGTGCCCTTTCTAATTCCTTCTAATCTATTCCAGTGGCTGAGGTTGGGATTAAAGGGTCCTTTCTCCTCCGCTGCTTCCTCCATCCAGCAGGCAACAACCTGACACATGGTGCCCTAAGGCCCCAGCTCAAACCCACTTATAAATTCAAATCATGCATCTGCACACCACTCACCCTCCCCACCCATGAACCCCAATATCTGCACATCCCCCCCAAGTCACAACACTCACTCATGACACTCCCAACAGGCACACACCCACCCCTCAGCTCTGCATGCCTGGTTCCTAGCCCATATCAGGCCCATACCTTCATCAGGCGTGGCTTGTCATGGAAGGGACAGTCGGCCAAGTTGGGCTGGGACTTGGTACATGTGGTTCGGCCGATCTCTACGTCCAAGTAGTATTTCATCCCAGCCACGACCTATGCACAGGAAGAGTAGTTTTGGCTTTCAATACCTGCGCGTGTCACACAGGTACCTTCGTGCTATCGTGTCTCGGGCCAACATCCATGGCTGCCAGAGCTGGCACCCAGGAAGCACCCAGCACCCTCCTGACTGCTGCCAAAGCCGCTGTGCCCCAGGCCCTCCTTGTAACTTGTTGACAAGCGGCTCTGACAAGCTGTGTCAAGCAGCCTCGTAGGAAGAGAGGTAGGAAAATGGAAGGAGGAAGCCAGACACTAAAATTCTGTTAACTGGGCCCAGGAGCTGAAGGTGCATCTATGAGGGAACCAGCCAGGGTGTCAGCAAATCAACTGTGCCAGCACCAGGTCCAAGGAAGGGATCAAGACACAGTGACAGCTCTGCCTGAGTCAAGGCTGGATCTGCCTCAGGAAGACTCACGTGATAACGACCTTGAAGCTCAAGTCCAGTTAGTAGTGTGGAGCCCATTGAGACTCTCATTTCATGTATCAGGTTTACTCATCCCCTCCCCGAGCAGCAGGAAATGAGGTGTTTTATACACACACATACACAATGTTTGAAGTCCATAAAAGATGCCTGTTAAGAATTCCCTGTAAGCGGAACATTTCTGAAGTATGTCACACATTTGTCTTACACATTTGAGATTACAGAAGTGAAGCCTGTCCTCACACAGGCATCCCCTAGACACACCTCCTGAGAACTCAGATAACCTTGGGAAGAGGGGCCCAGACCAGCCTCTAAGCTCTGCAGAGTGGACCCCAAGCAAGTTTCATGATCCCTCTGGTGTCAGTTTTCCACATGGGCTGATGAACTGTGATGCCAAGCTAGTGTCACACTAGAGGGGAGCAGGCTGGTGGGGACCTGGTGAGCAGGGCATGGATGTCCCATCCAAAGCGGACAGTGTCGGCCGACCGCTACAGGAGAAATGGGTCTGATCTTGACTCACTGTCTGAAGTTTCAAGAGGAAGTGGAAAAGGGCCATAAACGCTGGCATGCAGCACCACACTGTTTCTGTGTAGCCGTGTTCTGCTTTCCAATGGGAAGCAGGCCAGCTGGTCTAAACTCTAGCCTTCCTTCAAGGACAAGCACAAGGCCCTGATGCTCCCTCTCTTCCCCTTCTGGACTCTGATGACTGCCCTCCTTTTCTGGCCAGAACCTCAGGGCAGGCTGGTAGAGGCAGGGTCAGGTGTGGTCCTTCTATCCCAGCAGGCACTTAACTGCCCCTGGTTGCTGGTGGTGGGGCGCCCATCTCAGGGTGGGAAATGACACTTCACAGCCCAGAGCCTGTTCCATGGGTGTGACCTGCAGAGTGAAGCAATACTCCAGGGGCCTTTCCTCTTGGCAGATTTGGATTCTTATGTAAGACCCTCTGCTGTGGCATCTACCTGGATACCACAGGCCAGATTCTGGAAACCCCTGTGTTTGCTGATCTCCTCAGGGTGACCAGGACAGCAGTGAGGGCCCCGCCTCCGGGAGGATGTTTGGAGTGCCTGCTGGCCCCAAATACCATTACACATGGAGGCCTTGGAGGTCAGTTTAGTGGCACCTGCTGAGAAAAGACTTGGAAGAGAACACACTTCTTCTGCATGACTGGGATCTCTCCTGAGGGAACTGCAGGCCAACCCAAACTGAGTGCCTGTCTGCAGGCACTGGCTGACCCTTCACCAATGCCAAGGTCATGAAACAGACACACAGGCTGCTCCAGGGTAAAGGAGGCTGCAGGACAGTGGCTGCAGTACATGACCCTGGAGTGTCCTTGGCTATAAAGGGACAATCGGGGACCTCTGAATAAGGTCTGTGCATTAGATAACTGTGTTAGTGTTGATTACTGATTTTCAAATTTATACTGTGATTATGTAAAAAATGCCCTTGTTTTTAGGAAAATATACTCTCAAAAGGTTCAGAGAAATAAATGCATATATGTACCCATGCACACGCGGGGAAGGAGGGAGGCAGATAAAGCAAAAAGGGCAAAATTTTAACATCTGAGAGCGAAGGATCTACAGGGATTCTATGTGCTAATTTTGCAACTGCTCTGAAAGTCTGATATTATGTCAGAAGGAAACGTTAAAAGGAAAAAAGTGCTTTAAAAAAATCATTCCAGTGGCAAACCAGGAAGGCAGCCAGGTGTGAGGTCTGTTTTTCCTTTGCCTGTGGTCATTTAGTTGTGAGCTCACCCTGACCCCCCCCCCCCCCCCCCCCCCATGAGGCTGTGGTTAGGAGCTAAGCCAGCTGGACAGGGGCCCTGACCCTAAGCCAGCCAAGTCCTTGCTGGGGCTGATGCTTGAAAACAGAAATGAAGGGCAGAGCGCCAACCGGGAGTACCTGGGACCCACTGGCACTCCTGGTGACATTCCTGTCAGTAAACACAGAGTTGTCCAGGATCTGGCATGGGCGACAGGAAAGGCCAGGGAAGGTACCTGGCTGAGAAGCCTGGACATGTCAGCGTCTAAGCCTATCTGCCGGGCCTCCCGGGGCTTGAAGGGTGATCCTCCAGCGAGAGGGGCGGACAGGAGAGCGGCTGGTGACGTCACGAAGGCCACGCCCTCCGAGCGGAGGATTCCCCCATCCTAGTCCCCTTACCTGCCCAGTTACCCCCGCACCCCACCCCTGGGACGCACCTGCTTTTGGGCGCGCACCACACGCATGGCGCGACTGTGGAAGGCGTCGTTGCTTGCCTTGTTGTACTCGCTCAGGGCGAAGTTGAGCGCCTGCTGCACGCCCTCCTCGCTCTCGTCCGCATCCAGCAGGCCGCCCATCAGGCGAGGCCTGTTGGAGCTCGCGCCGACCGTGGGGCTCACGGCCAGTGCTAGGGCCAGGGTCAGTGCAGCCAGCAGGAATCGCGGGGTGCGCAGGGACCCGGCCATGGTTGGTTTGTAGGAGACGAGAGCTAAATCAGGAAAACAAGAAGCAAAGGACGCGATCGGAAAGCCGCAAGCAACGGGCCTAGGTTTTTATTCCCCTTGGCCCGCCCCACTGCCGCCGGCCCGCCCCCCCGCTCCTCCTCTTCCGCCTCGTCCAAGTCCCCGGCTCCTGGATCAGCGCCCTCATTGAGCCCTGTTCCTTTCCATTTCCGAGGTTCCGCTTCTCCTGCCAGTGCCTTTGCACATCTCTGTTACCCCCTCCGGCTAGAATCCCTCCTCTCCCCACAGCTTTTCCCTCGTCTGAGTCCTGCCCGCCCCCACCCCACCCAGTCCTGGCCTTCTTCCTAGCCCCACCCGTTCCAGCACCTCTCCGCCAGTCCCAGACTTCCTCTAGTGTGCTCCCAAGCCCAGCTCACCCCAGTCTCATCGGTGTCACCCCCCTGAAAGGCTTGTAACCCCTGAACTCTAATTCCTTCTTTAAAAGGGAAAAATAGCTGTCTTGTCCTCGGAGCAACTGGTTAAATTCTAGCGATCCCCAGAGTAGGCGTAGGCTTTCAAAGGCTGGGGAAGACCTCAACTGTACTTTGTACTGGGGAATTTCTTTGCCAAGCATAAGTGAATTAATTAACCTCTATTTGGTGTAAAAAAAAAAAATTCGGGTTCTCTTTTCACAACTAATTTATTTATTCAACCAACAAACCTTTCTTGGGCTTCTCCCTGGTCAGGAAGTGTAGAATCTGCATATAGGTGACAAGGGAGTGAGTGACCCTTGGACTTGACATTGTAGAGGGTCTGCCCTATAGAGATGAAATGCGAACCCATGTGTAACTTTCCATTTTCTAGTAGACACGATAAGGAATGTAAAAAGAAACAGGTGACAGTAAATTTAATAATATTTTTTATTATGTTAACCTAAAAAAAAATATCAAGGTGAGAGGCAACAAGTATTGATTTGTAATCCAAAAGAATAGCTATTCCAGAAGCACTGTTTTAGGCAGAAACCTCAAATAGTGTTCTTATTAGGAGGTAAGGCAAGGGGTATTTATAAAAAAAAAAAAAGGAAGGGGGTAATTATTTGAATAGAAGAAAGAAATTTCTGTGGGTGTTAATAAGGAAAGAATTTCTACACATGCAGATAAGCTAACATAGTGATGCTTATTCTAAAGAATGCCTTTGATTTTCAGTTCTGTAGTTATAACTTCTGCTTCCCTGTTTTGATACCAAGAAAGAAAACACCTGCCAGGAAGGATTCCTTGTAGTTAATTGGGCCCAAATTCAAAACTGGAGTCTACCAGCCATTGTGGCAGAAGCCTCTCATGCACACTGTATATCAAATGAAAGCCACAGGCTAATACTCCTGCAGTATGGGTCAACCCTATACTATATAGAGCTCCTAGGATTGGAATTCAACCAATAGATCTGAGACTTTCCCTGTCCAATCAAGCTGTGTAGCTATACCCTCATTTGTATGGTTACTGATCAGTCAGAGCTGCTCCATCCTGACCAATCAGGGCAGTGCTATTTGGACCAATCAAACTGTGATGATTTGGAGCCCTGGCAATGGACCAATCAGGGGCTGGTGGCAGGCATTCTTCTCTATATAAACCACCTTCACTTCTGTCTTGGTGGAGCACACATTGAATATCCATCTAAGAGTGTGTTTCCCCAGCTGGAGCTGTAACAACAGAGCAGAACTGTAACAATGGAATCTTAACACCGAGGCCACCTCACCTGGGCTACCTCTCCCAAGTTGTTTCACCACCATGCTGCTCCTCAGCTGTGCTATATCAAAATTGAGCTGTTTTCACTGAATAAAGTCTCTCTCCCAGCACTGCACCCCAAATTGAGGACTCCTGTTGGCATTGAATTGGCATCTATGATCTTTGTTTGACACCTGTTAACTTTGCAAACAGTTGATTTGAATACAGTGCTGCTGTAGTCTTAGTCCAAAGGAATATTAATTTAGTATTAATATTCTATAGGTTTAAGGGGTAAGACATTCAAGGCAGTTCCTCTGGGATGGCATCTTTGACACCATCTTGAAGTGACTCAGTTTGTATATTTTATAAACCCAATATACCTAAAATATTATTGAAACATGTATAAGCAATTGTTAATAGATATTTTACATTCTCCTGTGCCAGCAAACTCTATGGAATCCTGTGTATATATTCTACACTTAGACCGGGTGTCAATTCAGACTGTCCTCATTTTAAGTTCTCCATTGCCAGGTGTGGCTGGTGTCTGTGGTATTGCACAGCCCAGCTTTAGGGTATATGTATGTGTGGGGGTGGGGGTGGGGGGCGGGCAGTGATCAATAATTAAGATCAGAATGTGATGGGGCTTTGTTGGAAGTAAAATAGAAGTGGTGAAAGAGAGAGATGGGTGACACTGGACATAGGTGAGGGAGGCCTCTTTGAGAAGACAGACATTTAAGCTGACATGTGAAGGACAAGAAGTTCCACCAAGACCAGGGAAAGAGAGTTTCAGGCAGAGAGAACAGCCAGTGCAAAGGCCCTGAGGTGGGGCTGGGCTCACCTTTCTAGGAACAGGGAGCCACTGGAGGGTATTTAAGCAGGAAAGGTATATGATCCAGAATCTCAACCAGCAGCTATGTGGACAATAAACTGTGGGTGGGGGATAGGGGAAGAAGGCGCAGAGAGACCCATACCAGGATGGTGAGGTGGGTAGGCGGGAGACAGTGAGGGCAGCAGGCAGCGGATAGAATGTATGCTGAAGCAGACGAGTTGCTCTCGCTTTTCCCCTCAGGGAGCCACATTACTGGCTCTGGTGCTGAGTTCACTGCTTGGAAAACAATCCCCATGTTTTTAAAAACATCACCTAGAATGAGGTATAATGTACATATACAAAAACACTATTTTAGGTGTGCAGACTGAAAACTTAGCAGATCTATACACTAGTATCACCACTCCATCAAGATCTAGAACTATTCAATTACCCCAGAGAGTTGTCTCATGCTTCTGCAGTCAGTCCCATGCCCACCTCTGGCTCCTGGCAATGCACACACCTGTCCCCATAGACTCTGGGTTTTGCCTATTCTTGTACTTCCCATAAATGGAATCACACAGTGTCAGCACATGTATGTCTGGCTTCTTTCAATCAGCATCATGTTTTAGCTGTCTGTCCCCTAATTGTTTGTTCTCTTTCTCCTTGGTCAGAGAGGACATGGTCAGCGGGGTGCCATGTGGGCTAACAGAGCCCCTCGCTCAGGACTGTGCAAGCCTGGGCTGAAATATGGCCTGGGAGCAGAGAGAGAGAAAGGCCATTTTGAACAGAGAGTTGGCTGCCTTTCTTCTCTTATCCCCACCCTCCACGCCTGAAGGTGACCCTGTGGCAAATGGCCTATGGTGAAGGTGGTAGGCTTTGTCAGTAACACCCGGATGGGCCGGCCGAGTAGCTCAGTTGGTTAAGAGTTGGCTTGGGAGCGAGAGCTCTGAGCAGCAGGGCCGCCGGTTCGGTTCCCACATGGGCCAGTGACACTACACCCTCTACAGCTAAGATTGTGAACAACAGCTCGACCTGGAACTGGGCTGCCATGAGTGACTGGCGCCAGCGTAGGCTGCAGCCCCTGCTGCACGCCAGCGTAGGCTGCAGCCCCTGATGCAGTGGGCTGCCGTGAGCTACCTTGAGTGACTGGCAGCCAGCGTGAGCGGCCAGTGGCTGGCAGCCAGTGGGAGCTGCCATGAGCTGCCGTGAGCTGCCATGAGCCACCGTGAGTGGCTGACAAATGGCCAGTGACCGACTGCCTCAGCCAGGAAGAGCGCAATGATCATAATACCAACATGGGCCAGTGAAACGGCGTCCTCCACAACTAGACTGAAGAACAAAAGGACAGCAACTTGTCTGTTCCCCTTCCCCAATTCCCCAATGCTGTTTCTCACCCCCAATTCCCCAATAAAATCTTTAAAAAAAGAAAAGAAAAGAAAAGAAAAGAAAAGAAACACCCAGAGGCCTCTAGGCCCTTGAAGCATGCGCAAAGGGACTGTCTTACGAGTGGCGGAAGCAATGGTCAGTCAGCATCAGCCCAACCCACTGCGGTCCTGGGGCTGGACCATCAGGAATAGAACATGCCAGAACGATATCAACGATGAACATTCATATTTAGTTTTAGGATACGAGAGCCTGTTTCTTGACACCCAGTTACAAATGTAGGGGTGTAAAAGTTTTCTCTCCCTTTCTTCTAGGTTCTTTGGCTGGTCTAATGATTAAATTGACATAGACAGAGTAACAGGAGAAAAGCAAATTTAATTTTGTACATATAGGAGCCCTATAAAAATATGAGACTCAAAGGCAATTGAGGCTTCTATTCCATCCTGTGCTAAGGAATGGGATAGAGGCCTGGGTCTTCAAAGAGGAAGAGGGCAGCTCACAGAAAGAGGAAAACAGCAGGTTTTGGTAATATGAGGTTTGCCCTGCCATACAGAGAGGTTCTGGTTCAGGTCCCTAACTAAATTCTATTAGACAATTAGGGAGGAGGTAAGTTTTTCCTTAGCCTGCTGGGTCTTGGGGTGGTGTATCTGCTGTCCTTCACCCCTAACTCCACTGTGAGCCAGGAGCCTCTAGAAAAGTTATGGTGCCCCACTAGATGCACCCAGGTATAACAGGGATAGCATTGGCAGTGCGGTGAGAGAGAGGAGGTCTTCAATGCTTTCTTACTTAAATAGAAAAGAAGGGGAGATAAACACAGCAGGAAAAGGGAGGGTTGCCCCGGGCCAGAGACTTCTGATCAGAGTGATTATCTCCAAAGGGTGGAAATTGGTTTTCATGTGGTTTCCCCACCCACACTGGGCAGCTGGGACTCCAGTCTGAGGAGGGTAAGTTGTGCAGAGGGTAAGCTGAAATGTGAGGGATCCTTCCCTCTTGTTAGAAAGGAGGTGCAGAGCACCCAAGTAGCTGGAGCATGGTGGTAGGTGCAAGTGTGTTGGGGGTGGCTTGAATGATGACACTGCTGCTGTATGTTGATTATACTGCCTATCATGATCCTCCATTGGGATGTTGGCATGTGCTCATGGAGGGGAAGTTGTCCTGATACAGTGACATCTCTAATCCCAACATAGGGTGCCCACGGGAGCTACCAGAGCAAACCGCAGTACA